TATTCTTGGGGTTGGGAGAAAGAGCATTTCTTTATTTACATGAGACACCCTTGCAAAGGAAAACCAGTCAAATGCGGCCCGCCAGGCCATTCTATCCAGCCCACGAGGCCCCTAAAAAATTTAGAAAATTAGTATTTATCTACCCCTGGCTGCCTGTCATGCGGCCCTCGATGGCTTGCCAAAACTCAGTAAGCAGCCCTCCACCTCAAATAATTGCCCACCCCTGCATTAGAGATTAGGCTATTTGAATAATCCTGGCTAAATGTGGAGACACATAGGGCTATTCCTGCAATGACCCTCCAGAGTTTGCGAGGTCCATCTGTGATTTGCTGCATTGTGGCTACCTCTCACTTACGAAGGATGATTACTCATTTTGGACCAAGTTACATCTCTGTGCCGTGCACAAATCGGAGGCTCCAACTTGTTTTATTGTGAATTATCCACGAGAAATGAAGACATAGGCTGTCAGCTTGTTTTAGGGTTGCAGGGGAAATACCAGACCCCAAAGCAGTAAGTCAGTCTTCCTTTTCCTTTTCCCGTCATTAGAGTTTTGCCTGAGTAAGGATGGCAGGATTTGAACCCAGTGTTTGTCACCTTTGGCCTCGGCATGTTGTGAACAGGGTTTGAGCAAGAAGACATCTTTGGTGCTGGAGTGTCTCCCTGCAGTGGAAAGTGTGGGCATGGCCTGAACGCAGGCCAGGATTCAGATATCTACAATGCATTCAAAGAATGGAAAACAAACCCTTCCAAGATAAAAACCAATGCCCTGCTCCAATTTAATATGTCACCGTGTAATCACATTTAAAAGTATTAACAATTCAGAACAAATCAGCAGACTCTTCATTAAAAAGCAAAAGATAACGTAGCAGCCATAACCTCATTTCACCGAGGGAGATGTAAATCACTCGTCGCTCAAAAGCTCTATAAAAGAACTGATTAAGGTTCCCCATTAAATGGGAGTTTAGGGAAAACTGGTTCATGTTTTGTTTCCTATAAAGACTGCTTCTCCTAATTGAAATGATGGCAATTAGCTGGAGGCGGCGACGATCCAGAAGGTATTTTTTATGGATCATCTTTCAGTGATCTCTACAGCTGCCATGCTTTGCTGTCTGAAACGTGATCCTGGATGTTGGCAAAGAAGCGTGAGCATTATCAGATGGTTCAGCGGCGGCCCTCCGACAAGCCCTCGTGATCTGGAAATGCAGCTTTTTGCAATACGCTCCTACTTCCACCATGATTGTTGAACTCTGTCCACTTAAAACAAAGCCTATGTTTTACAAATAATTTAAATCATTATCCCCCTTGTCAGCCAGGAGTTAAAGGGCTACACGACTGCGATGCTTTGTTTAGAGACTGACCAGAATAATAGCTTTCAGATGTTTAAACTATGCACCACTAATCTGTGGCATCTAAACACAAATGTCTCCTTGTTGAGTAAGTCCAACGTTGTTTGCCTACCGAGCCCAGATCATTTCAAAGGGCCTGTGTGGGGAATCGTGGAGCAGAGATGGGGTGGACAATGCAGCGTTCAGAGTCCGCATACCCCCAGCTCCCGACATATTTAATGTTAATGCTTTTGAACTCCTCCTCACTGTTGGATTATTGATGAGGAATTAAAGACTCTAAGTGCAGAGGGGGCCTATGAGAAACATCGACACATGCCCAAAAGGTCCAGCTGCAAATTGCAGGGGAAAGCCCATTGCAAGCCAATAACATGCTGGTGGAGATCGGTGGTAGCTCCTACTGCTGGACGCTCTCCAGGTGGCCGTGAGAGGACCCAGACACCGATTTCCCCGTGTCTTCACTGGCTTGGGGCTGGTGAGAGGTTAGGCTAGTGATTTTGAGCCTTTAGGCAGTGCATATCTCGCCACCGACAGCTCTCGCTGCTGTGCAGTCCCATGGTTGAATTTACTAGTGCCGTTCTCCCCAGGAGCCCTGACATATTTCCCCAAATCCCACTGAAGGCACAAGCCAATTGTTTTATGGTTAAATTCTTTAGGAGAGTGTGAGAGATGGAGCAGGCAAGGCACAGACGTTGCACAGGATCTGGAAGACGTCGCCGTTCAACAGCACAAGGAATAGGCAGCTTGAGACAAGATAACTGAGCCTGCTGTAGTAGTTTCTCCACCTCTGCAACTCCCGGCGTCTCTTCAGAGCCACAGACCACATCCTGGGGAGGCTGAGGAACGCTGCCATTCCCGTCACAAACCACGATGGAGGTTAGGTGCAAGGTTTTAGGGTGCTTCGCTTTCCCCAGTTCATCGTACTGGTAACAGCAGCTTGGATCTCCAATAAGACCATGCCAGCAAGAGGGGGCCATTAGGACACAGAGCGAAAGTTGTTGGGTTTAATTGCTGTTTGTAAAAAGGCTTTGAGGGCAAGGCGTCCCGAGTTGTGTGCTTGCCATTTGTGACAAGGAGTTTCTTGGGAGAAGTCCTCATGCCGAGAGCTTTGCCTAAAAGTGTATGTGGAAACAGTTGCATTTGTGCCACGGAAAAGTAATCCTTTCCCACCCCAACCCATGCGTACGTTGCTACAATAGCAATGGTTGCGTCTTCAGATTCTGCAAGGACATGACAGGACAAGGAGTGATGGGCTCAGGCTGCAGCAAGGGAAGTTGAGGTTGGATATTAGGAAAACCTCTCTCACTAGGAAGGTAGTAAAGCACTGGAACAGGTTACCCAGAGGTGGTGGCATCTCCATCCTTGGAGGTGTTTAAGACCTGGCTAGACAAAGCCTTGTCTGGGATGATGTAGCTGGGGCTGGTCCTGTTTTGACCAGGGGATTGGACTAGATGTGACCTCCTGAGGTCCCTTGTTTTCTATGATTTTGGGCTAAGAATCAGCTGTGCAGCCAGTCAGCCCACGTTGAGACAAGTGGAAGCATGTAACCACAGTCCTATTATGAGGCCCATTTTCTCCTCTTTTTGGCCACATGCAGGTTCGTGGAGTCATAGGGGTTTTGTTAATCAGAAGGGCCGTGCCTGCCCATCTGGTCCAGAGCTTCTCAAACTTCTTAGGGCACTTCTCTTTAGACTCAAGACACACCTTGTTTGACTCCTCGCACCCCTTAGAAAATGCCAGCTCTCAGCTTTCGCTTGTGTCTTAACTACAGAAAAATACCAGAACAATTCTGCAGTTGCAAAGAACTCAGAAAGATCACAACAGGTCTTGCCACTGGATCACAATTGGAAATCTCTGGGTTTATCGTGTGAATCGTGCTAATGTTGCCCGGCCCCCTGCAGCACACTTTAAAGGATCTAACAGCACCCCGGGGTGCAGCAGCACCCTGGTTGCAAATCTCTGATCTAATCTGACCAGTGCATTCAAACCCATTGGCAGAGCCCCTTTGCGTTTACCTATGGCAGGTGAAAGGGTGTTGGTGCTTTGGGTACTGTGCCTTCTCCTTGTGAGTTTAGGGGTCTCAATGGTGATTTAGGGGATTCCTTTAGTTGACAATTGCCCGCGCATTCAGGAGACTAGAGTTCATGGCCTAGGAGACCTCTTCCAGCCCTCTGTTCCTGCTGGAAGTCACCGGGCAGAGTTCTCTGACCTGTGTTTTCCAGGAGCTCAGACCAGACAACTAGATCAGTCCCTGCCAGCCTTCAAATTGGTGCATCTGTAAATAGCCAAGATCTCCATGACTTGTGGCTGACCTGCAGTGCTCCTTGTGGCAGGCCAGTAGGGGGCACTCCTGTGTTGAGCTCCCACCTCCCTGCGCCTGACCACCTTCCAGGCTCCGAGCGCCTCCCTGGGGCGCCTCGTGTCCAGCTGTCCCCCTTCCTGGAGCACACTCGCTAGCCTGGGGGTAACATGTGCTGCCACCACCCCGAGAAGGGACTGTCTCGGCCCTGTGTCCTCAGGGAAACACAGGCCTAATAGTCCTACAGGTACTCGACCCTGTACAGGCACTTGGGGCACTTCCCCAAATCAGGGGCCAAAAAGGAAAGTCTCCCTTAGTCCGCAGACCTAAGGGGCCTCTTAGGCATAATTTAGACCCCCCCCTCAATAACTCTCCTACACCGGTCACAAAGGAGAACTGTATTGATTACAGGGGTAGGGTGAAAATCGGGTACAAGATTGAGCAATATCATAGAAATCCCATCGAGCAAAACAGTCTGGCTGAGGTAGCCTTTTGATCATGCATCTGAGTTACTGCCAGCTAGATATCTACCCAGATCTCGAGTAGCTTACTCACAAGCGTCATCCCGAGGAGGCTGTTGGAGATCCCCTCTGGAGGCAGGCCGTTCCTCGCTCATGAGTTATGGGGGAGAGAGCCAGTTTCAGATGGTCAAGCTCCTCTCTATGTCTGAGTCTCCCGCATGGCTGCTGCCCCCTCCTCCTGGGCAGTCTTAACTTATATAGCCCCTGTGACCTCGTTTGCCTGGTCCAATGGAGGCTGGCATCTGTTGGCTGTCAGCCAACCAATTTGAAATACATCACCAGTTGCCGGGCAGACTCTGGCGCCCCAGGTAGATGCCCCTCACCCAGGTAGGTGATACCAGTCCCATAGGCAGAGGGAGCAGGTTCCCCGTCCCTCAGGAATGTCGCCAGCTCAGGTTACCTGAAGAAAGAGGGTAAAGGTGCATCTCCTCTGCTGGGCCCATCCTCATCACATTGTCACTGAGCAGAGATTTTGGGGAGAAACAAAGGTGGCTTCCTGCCACAGTCCTCACCTGGCCTCTCCGCAGGCAGTCCTGCCTACAACCATGACACTGGCTTGACTTTTGCTTCTGCTGCCACATTTAGCTTAAGATGCAGTTTGCATATATAGAGTTGGCTCCCAGAGCTGATTTCTGATTCAGGGCTGGCCACTGAAGTGTGAATAACATGAGCTGTGCTCAGAATATGATTTCCCCTTCCCTTTTATTCTTTAATGAAAGACACTGTATACTGCAGCAGCTCAGGGACACGTCTCTTTATGGCTTGATACCCTGCCTGCGCACAAAAGTGGATCGGTCAGGCCCACGGCGGAGGGGACGGGGGGACTTAATTCAGCCAGTGTTACCCCTGCAACACAGATTAACTCGCCCTCGTGCGCAGACCAGGGGCTCTTCTCTCTGGTCCCTCCACAACTTGTGGCTGACGGACTCGAAGTTTAATTTTTGATTTTTCTTCTTGATGAATAATTCATGCGCTCCGAGGTAACACGATTGTTTTCCTTGGCTTCAGTGTTTCCGAATTACTGCGCTCGCCAGCGCATGGCACGAAGGCCTGTTCTGCTTGTTTGAGCTGGCTCTCCCACCAGGCATTCCCTTCGGTGTGGGCAGCCAACGTGATTGCGTTTCAGCAGAGGCTCGGGCAGGGCTTTCAGCTTCCCCCCTCTGAAACCATTTCCTTGGGACTGTCTCCCTTTCCTCATCTTGGTGGTCATCAGGCTGTGCCTTTATGGACTCGTCCCCACTCCTGACTGGTCGTCAGAGCCGGTGATGGCTTCTGTCTCGCACTGCGCAAAGGGGTGATGGCACCGGGGTCTTACCTCATTGCGTGAGGCCCAGTCTCTCTTTCAGCTCCTGCAAGAGAACTGCATCCCCCCATCATCTCAGTCCAGGCAGCTGCCAGGACTGAGAGGTCCACTTCTTCATGGTCATCCCAGCACCTCGAGAGCACACCAGCCGTTTGCAAGCCCCACAGTGAACATTAGTGAGCGTATTAGAAATGCCCGACTGCCCCTGATGTTCTTTGGCTAAGCTGTTACCCACCTCTGCTTGCTGGTATGCGGGGGTGCGAGACAGCGTACGGCTCTCTACATGACATCTGCAAAATGTCATCATTTCTGACAACACTTGGCAACTCTCGGTGGGTCGGAGCAGAAATAATTTGCAGTTACCTGAGTTGCCTTCATGACATTTATCATTTTCAATTTGTATTGGGTATTTGCTGCTTGGATGGAGAGAAAGTTTGTGATCTAGAGTGATGTACAACTTAGATGTTCTCGACAAGCAATACCCAATGACATGATTTCCTCCTGTATTATGACACAGAGTGATACATGACATGACAGACTGACAGGAGAGCAATATGATGATCTACAAAAAACACTGTTATCCAGAAAGACATCATTTAATCTGGGGAACAAACAATCTAATCAAAAGCTGAGCCAGTACAATGAGTACCCATAAAGGGCAGGAGTTCATTTCATTTTACAAGTAATTGGAAGTTGAGTGATTATTTATTGTGATAAGTCAAAGTCACAAAGCAGGAATCCACCACTGTGTTGAAACTTCCTCAAAATTTCGAGTGCTTTCAGATCATTAGTTTGGCTACGAACCGTGTAGAGTTGCACAGTCACATCTTACATGATAGCTCCAGATTCAAGTCCTTCTACCTCCATGTTAGCTGCTCAGAAACCGCAGTTTGAGCTACTGACTAGCTGTTCCTTGGATTCAGGGAGGGATGAACTGGGTTGGATAAAATGAGAGGCAACAGGGTTCAAACCCACGCATGCACAGTATGGAATATATGGTGGACATAAAGTAAAACCATAAATCAGGTGCCAACAGTACATTTAACAATAAAAAGTTTAACCTTAGATTCTCATGAGAATAATAAAATAGCATATACCGTATTTACCCAAATCCAAGCTGAGTTTGAATTTAAGATGACTCCCCCATAATTGGATTATGTACATGGACATTTATAAATGTGTTATAATTTTCCATTTATAGGATCTGATTAGTGGAAGGTTTTCTTAAATGTGTCCATCCTCCCCACTGCTATCATGGGGGGAAGCAGTGGCAGAGAGTGAAGGGCCAGACCCCGCCCCTTGTCTCCCTGTGCTTGCCTCCCCTGCAGCCTGCCCCTTGCCATGCACCCTGCTACCACCTGTCCTCCACTTCCCAACTCCCTGCCCCCCCACCCCCTGGTCCCTGCTACAGCCTGCCTCCCCCACTCCTTGCCTCTCTGTGTTGCAGCAGCCCCAGCCCAGCCCGGTCAGAGATAAGGGACAGCAGTTCCCAGTTAGGCCAGGCTGGGGCTGGAGGGACCACAGCTGAAGCAGAAAGTGGGGGTGGGGGGAGCAGGGCAGGGGTACAGGCATGGGCATGGGGGACAGGGTGCAGGTTTCCTGCCTTGCAACCTACAGTCTCCCCCTCACTCATCCCAGCTGCATGCCCCCATCCCTGCCAAATGAGCCATTTTGGCCTGGGACAGGCAGTAGCTCAGATCTGGCTTCAATGCCAAGCCCAGGGCCAAAGCCAGAACTGAGCTGCTGCTTGCTTTGGCTGGTCCTTGAATCCAAGACGGAGCCCCCCCCAACCCCACAAGTAGCCTTGCCTTAGGGGAAAAAGCCTTGTCTTGTATTTGTATACAGTACTTGAGTTGAACCTTCAACAAGTTTTGTCACATGCCTTGTTCTGAACCATGAATTCCAGAAGGACTAGAAGCCGAGCGTTGTGGTGAGGCACAAGATCCAACTAACTGGTGGCCTCGGGGCTGACCAACACCCTTACACTTGTTTGGGTCATCCAGGGTGCATCTACATGTGTAATTAATGTGACTGAATATACACCGACTCAATTTGAGCTGGAGTAAACTAATCCTGACATCACCATCTACATGTGCGTTTAAGTGCAGTAATTTACTGTGCTGCCGGATACCATTTGTATCTGGCGGGAGTATCCGGCAGTGCAGTAAATTAGTCTAGGGCACCCTAATTGCC